CTCTAAAAAATGAGGGATAATTCATAGAAGTGTTGCTTGCCGCAGTACACGAAGGGCGCATGCCCCTAAGCATTGTAAGTTGGACTGCTTGACAGGCTGCAGTGAGCGTGGAAAGTTATGCTTCAGTTCTTTTCAATCCGAGCCCTCTCCACTTCTCGATCGGAGAGCTGTAAGCACTTCGCAAAAATAGCATCTACAATGCGTCCTCCGTATTCCTTCGCATGCCTCAAAGAAATGTACAATTGGCAGTCTGTCTGTCCCACGTTGGAATCCATAAACTCACCTGGGACCTGCAGTGACTCTCCAAGCTACAAAAGAAGAATCCGACTCGTGCATGCATTAAAGGGAGGAAAATAGAATTTAGGACTTAAGGCCTTTGTACACTCGAAAGGTGAACGGCATCGGTTGAAATTTATGGAAGACGGAAAACTGTCCACTATCAGCGGTAGTGGCTGTTGGTGGTGACCACAGTAGTCGCTATCACACACGGAGGATTGAGGCCCAGTTCCATTGGCCGTCAACCACCGAAAAATCAGCAGCCATGGCACCCATCTACTGCATGAAAAGTGCATTCAATCAAATCTGTATGCATTTTTGTTTCACATCTTACGATTCCTCATTTCCGTTAATGAACACTAAGCCTTGTTGTCATTGAACACCATAAAGGGAACAGAAGAAGTTGTCTATGTCCCGCAAATCACGTTCGAAGTTGTTTGTGTCATCGAGTGCCATATTTGGCGAAAATAATCCCTCAAGCGACATTTGAATGGGGCGAGACACATAACGCATGCATGCAATCCCAGTGCACGTGAGATCGGCTCGCAGGGCTGCATGGAATGAAAGGTATCGCATTCCCGGCAGGGCCAGAATGGCATGCCCATAGGTGAAAGGGTTTGCCACTTCCTCAGGTGAAAGCAGCACACTGAGATGCATGACGAATGAGCGCATTTGAAGATTTGCCACCAAATTACTGAGCGCACATTGTCTGCGAGTGAAAGTATCCTTAATGTGGTGGAGTCAGCAAATCAATGCATTA